GGGGCAGAGAGAGAGAGAGACACACAGAATCTGAAGCAGGCTCCAGGCTCCAAGCTGTCAGCACAGAGCCCGACGTGGTCTTGAACTCACAAACTGCGAGATCATGAACGAGCCAAAGTCATTCGCTTAACCAACTGAACCACTCAGGTGCCCCCAGGTCCAGGGTCATTTTTAAAGCCCCCCTGCTACCTACCTTCTTTTATGATACTTGCTAAAACTTTATTTCATAGTCATTGCCGTGTTGTATCCAAATAGCCTCCAGTGTGGGGTATTAAGTTTCCCAACTCCTTCCCTTCAGTCTCTTTTCCCTCTACTTTATTCTATCACCTATCAGGTAAACTGATTTCTCTCCATTCCTTCAGCATGTCATACATGTTTTAATGTGTTTCACCCACCCAAAACATCTATCCCCCCTCTTCCTGCAAATCTTCAAGGCCAAGCTTACTCTTATTTTCGTCTTTATTCTCTCACTTAATTAGAAAAGATGGATGTGTAGTAGATAGAGACCAAGGTTTCTTTTGTTTTGCCTCCCAAAGAACCTAGCAGAGTTCTGGTCACATGGTAGATGTTGTAAGTACTGATTAATTGATTAATTCGCAACAGGGTAACTAAATTATATAAAATGAATGATCACTGTGAAGGGCATCACAGCCTCTACTTTTTGCTGTAGTTAATTTTAAGATTATATTGATTAAATGAACAATAGAAACAAATTACATAGTTTAAGTATTTAAGTTGCCTATTCTAATAGTCATACTATAATATTTGTTATTTTTGCTAGTTTGCATAGTACAAATTCAGCTTTTAAACATCTAAACTTCCCCTTATAAATTCAGATAGTGTTTTATAGATTAGATATTAAAAATACTAAATGGTAAATAAAACCTTATCCATGTAACATCAGTCAGTGGTCCACTCTCTCCCCTGTATCATCAGGGTTTTTTTTTTTTCCTATATTTACTGGATCGTTCTTACGGGCATGCAAGCATTCTATAAGTTTTACAAGTATACCTTTTAAGTAAGGTTTTCTGGATCACATGCCCTCCAATAACTACTGCAAAACACCTCACTAGAATTGTCTGTTCCGTCGCTTCTCAAATAAGTACAAACTGCCTGGGACTCTTGTTGAAATTTAATTTCTAATTCAGAAGGTATATACTTGCTGCTTTAACAAATTCTCCCAAAACTTAATGGCTTAAAACAATAAAACATGTATTTGCACACAGCCCTGCTGGGAACCTGTGGCTCAGGATCATTCACATAGTTGTGACCAGCGTGTTGGCCTGGACTATGTAGTCATCTCTAGGCTTGACTGGAGGAAGAATCTGCTTCTAAGCTTTCTCCTTTGGCTGTTGGCAGGCCTCATCTCTTTGCTTGCTGTTGGCTGAGAACATCATGCCTTTGCTATGTGAGCCTCTTTTTAGGGCAGCTCAACATAGCTGCTTAGTCCAAGACAGATAGACAGGGTAGGGTTAGGGAGAGGATAAACAAGACAAAACCAGAATCTTCTTGTAACCCAATGTCACAAGTAATATCGCATCACTTTGCCTTCTTCTCTTCAAGGGTAGGAGATTACAAGGATGTAAACACAAGGAAGGAAGTAGAGTCATTGGGGGGTTCCATCTTAGATGCTGCCTGTCCAAGTAGATTTGGTGTGGGGTTTGAAATTCTACATTTTTAACGAATTCCTAGGTGATAACTGTTATTATTCTCCAAGAACTTCATTTTGAAAAGAAAGGGTCTACACTTCCTGACTCCAGTTCTACTTTTAATCATCCTCTGTTGGTCACACTCACTCCAATTAGGCTTTCTCACCCTCCACTACACTGAAACTGCCCATGTTGGAGTCACCAATGACTTCCACATTACTAAATCCAGCATTTGAAATAAAATCACTCTTTCTGAAAATCTTTCCTTACCTGGGTTCTGGAACATTAAATTTATATTTCTCCTTAGTTTTTCTGCTAGTTGCCTATCTCCCTGACTATAAATATTACTATATTCCACAACCAACCCTTGGACCTATTTTTTTTATCTACAGTTAACTCCTAAAGAGTCTACTGAAAGCTTATAGCTTTACATTCCAGATATATGCTGACCACTCTCAAATTTACATTTCTGATATGATTTTTTCCCCTAAAATACTGACGTGTTTACCAAGTGCCTCACTGAACATCTCTATTCAGATATCTAATAGTAATTTCAAACTTAAAGTGTCCAAAATAGAATTATTCATACCCCGCAGCCTCTCCCTTCCCCACCAGGCCCAACCTGGCAATCTTGCTTCTCATTTATGTTTGCAAACCAAACAAACAGTACTACTCTCCAATCTGGCTGTTCAGTGAAAACCACAAGAGTCATCCTTGAGTCCTCTCTTACTCTCATATGTAAACAATCATGAAGTTGTGTCTGTGTTGCCTCTTTTTATCCCTTGACTTTCTCCATCATTCTCCATCCCAACATCACCACCCTTGTACAGACCATTATTATGTGTTACAGAGAGTTCTGATCTTTTTACTATTGATTATAGCTTCTAACCTCTAGCCCAGATGATTTTACTCAACCCATCTTTTTCTACATTCATGGTTTCCTTTAGCCTACAGAATGAAGTTTAGATTCTTTTTTTTTATTTTTCAATGTATGAAATTTATTGTCAAATTGGTTTCCATACAACACCCAGTGCTCATCCCAAAAGGTGCTCTCCTCAATACCCATCACCCACCCTCCCCTCCCTCCCACCCCCCATCAACCCTCAGTTTGTTCTCAGTTTTTAGATTCTTTAATATTGTTTATAATGCTGTACATAATCTGGCCCCTGATTCCCTCTCCGGTCCCATTTATCTCTTTTTGTTTACCTGTGTTCTAAAGCAGTGCAGGGACTGGGCTATGATATGACACTCCCATTTGACTGTAAGTCTTCATTAAAATGGTTTTTCTTTCTGCAAGGCTCTTCTTTTTCTTCTTTGTTTGGCTAGCCTTCTCTTCATTCAGATTTCAGCTTAAACCTAACTTCTTCCTGGAGGCCATCTTTGATCTCTTAGACTAGGTTTAAGGCACCTATGGTGTAGTGCATAGTGTTACATACTTCCCTGTCTTAACAGTCAGTGTATTTTCTACCAATCATTGAATTATCTTTTTCCTTTTTCTCCCATTAAGCTATAAGTTCTGGGGAGACCAAGTCAGCAGATGTAGATTCAGGTATTTTGAAGCCTGAAAAATATAACTTTGGGGTCCTCTTTAAGAATATATGTAATTATGGGGGCACCTGGGTGGCTCAGTCAGTTAAGCATCCAACTTCAGCTCAGGCCATGATCTCACAGTTTGTGAGTTTCACCCCTGCATCTGGCTCTGTGCTGACAGCTCAGAGCCTGGGGCCTGCTTCAGATTCTGTGTGTGTGTCTCTCTCTGCACCTCCCCTGTTTGTGCTCTGTCTCTCAAAAGTAAATAAACATTAAAAAATATATATTTAATTATTTATTTATAATTATTATTTTAATTATATACACATAATTTAAAATACACACACTCAAGTGAAAATGAGAGTTTTCATTTATAAAAGAAATCACAACAAAGTAAAAACGCTGACAAATATGAAAGCATATGATACTGTAAACATGCTTCCAGAGGCCCTTCGCAGAATCCCAAAGCTTAAGCTTCATTAAATTCCCAGTAAACACACCTCTACAAGTCAGTCTTCTTTAAAAATCTATTTCTAGTGTTGAGAGCAGTGCTTGATATGTAGCAGATACTCAACAAATATTTTGGAATGGATATATTAACTTTATTTTCACAAATTAGATTACTAAAAATAGATTTTTTCTATATTAAAAAATTGTTCTTGGGGCGCCTGGGTGGCGCAGTCGGTTAAGCGTCCGACTTCAGCCAGGTCACGATCTCGCGGTCCGTGAGTTCGAGCCCCGCGTCGGGCTCTGGGCTGATGGCTCAGAGCCTGGAGCCTGTTTCCGATTCTGTCTCCCTCTCTCTGCCCCTCCCCCGTTCATGCTCTGTCTCTCTCTGTCCCCCCAAAAATAAATAAACGTTGAAAAAAAAATTGTTCTTATAATTATTATTTTTTTATTTTTTGCTACACTCGTATTTCAAATGCCAATAATGTACATGCCTGTTAGCATGTCAGTGGGCTCTAAGCAGAAAGTCTATTGTACTTCTTTACCAAATGGAAAAAAAAATTGCATCAAAAATGTATACTCCAATCTTTTAGGTTGTATGTATATATATTTGTGTGTGTCTCTATATCTTTATAGATCACATGTATTAAAACTTTAATGTTGAATTCCTAAGATTTTGGTTTTTCAGATATCACCACAAACAAAAACCCTTCAGGGAGAGACCATCTATATTCTGTTTTCTTTATAATATATTTTATAAACATTTATCTCTGAGATAATAAGGATACCAATATTCTATATAAAACAATGCATAAAATGTTTTCTTTATTCTCAAATCATCCACAAGACACTACTTAAGAGGTTATTTGAATTAAGACAATAACATTGCATTCAAAAGGTAAGCTATTTGGCTTACATCTTTAGAGTTGAGTTTGTTAAAATGGAATTAAATTTAGTTAAGTTTCTCTTATGGTAACATTTTAAATTTGCTGAGGGTTGGTAGGCTCATGTCAAGACTGTTAGGGGTGTGTGTGTGTGTGTGTGTTTGTGTGTGTGTGTCTGTGCGTGTGTGTGTGTGTGTGTGTTATAAAGTGCAGCCTTCTGATCAATGCACACTTTTTCCTCCCATTTTCCTAAATACATCATGAAAAAAGGATGAGGTTTCCGCCTTAATTGCTTGTGCCTTTTATTCACATTCCTCTCTCAGCCAGAATTGTGAAAAGAGTGTTAGTAAAAGGCTGCACAATAGAGCTTTTCATTAGGCCCCAGCAAGGCACACAAAGGAAGGCTTTTGGAAAGAGTGAATGCAGGAGTTTAATTTGCAGGTGGAGAGTAGATAAAAGGTGCTGACACCTCTATTCTTCTCTTACTTAGGTGACCCTTACCCTGTTCAGCTGATCCCAACTACCATGGCAGCTGCCGCTGCAGCAGCACCAGGCTTAGGCCCGCTCCAACTGCAGGTAAGTCGGGAAACAATGCAGAAGAGACAAAGGTTAAGTAAACAGGGAAAACAGCTATTATCGTGTTAAAGCAAAATAAGGCTGACTAGTGATATTTGTCTCACTCTTTTTTTGTTTTTGACTTCCCTTGCACTGATTCTCAACCAAAAGTTGAGTGGTTGACTCTTTTAATTTGTGGCCCCTGTTTTCTGTACTAAAGAGAGCTTATTATACATTTTTATCGCCTGGTATGATTTAACACAACGGTCTCAGGTGTTGCTTTGATTACTGTGTAACATAGTTTCATCACAGACTGGTCCTCATCAAGATAAAAAGAACAAAACTGTCAAAGACATTCACACAGATACTTATGAATCAAGGCAACTTAACAGAAATTACATTTTAAAAAATGTTCAAGACACCCAATATTTCTGACTCTGTAGGTCTTTTTATTCTCCTGCTAATGCCAACTCAGTTGGGCAAGCAAAGAGAAATAAACCAAATAAGCGAGCGCCTAAATGAGCATAACTTTATCCAGGCATTCCAATTAAGACCTTTTTAGCCCTGAAGAATACATATTCCCATATATTCAAGAATGTCAGTGATAACTTTACCAGATGTCCAAGTGATTTTAGAAATTTTGTCTCCGGAGTTGAAAAGAATATCAGTAATATTATATTAAAGATATCTTTCATTAACTATTTAAATCTTTGAATCAGCATCCCTCAAAATCTTCCCTAGCTTCTGTTGTTATGGACTTCATAGTTATGCAATTAATGAGGATAACAAACCATCTAATAATAGAATCAATCACCCCTGTGAGAATTGTGTATTTTCCTTTGCCTGAGAGACACAGTATATCTGTAAACCCAGATATATACCAGTTGTGCTTAATAAACTTAACTTGTATGCACAAAAATGCATTGTCATGATAGATGATCTTAACCTATAAGGAAGAATAGAGTTTTATATTGTAGCCTTAAGAGACAAATATATCTGCCCAGCACTGGGGATTGTCAGAAGACCTGACGGGTTTCTGAAAAATCAGTTGAATCTCACAGGAAGTACACAGGAGGAGCTGAGACATACTGTGTTCTACAGAGGTTAATAACAGTCATTCCTAATCTACCTTTTCCACAAAAAGCTACAGTGTGAGTAAGTGTTTCTTTGAGCTGGAAGTATCTTGGGAAGTGTTAGAGCCAAGGAGACAATAAAAGTAGCATAACACTTGTTATCCTCTGAAATGGCATCCGGAAATAATGACAATATGGGAAAGTGGTTGTAATCAGTAAAACTTAAAAAGAGTAGTGAAATTAAAGGAAGAGGGAAGCATATCTGGAAATATATTTGAATGTAGAAATAAGAGTTTTGGAGATTTCTGATGTCCATTTTAAAAGTAAGTTAGACATTCTTGTCTCCTTTCACCCTTGGGTTAATGGTAAGTGGAAGCCGGGGCAAGTATGTTTCACTGTAGGATTCTAGTAGAAAGTAGCTTTGTTAGGCAACAATCCAAACTTCTCTTCCTACAGAGATGGTATTAAAATATTTGAAATTCTTTTATTTCCATCCTTATAATACATCAGATTCCCCTAAAATATCAAGATCTAAAAAAATCATTTTCAGAACAAGGAAAAGACACCAAATGTATTTGCTCTTGCTTTCACTATAATTTAATCTATAAGTAGAATAAAGATCTTTTTTATATAAGTGACATTGTACCCGTTAACATATATGAGTTTTAGTTAGGATCTCAGTAAACCAATACTGTGGTATAACAGGAAAATTAATAATCCAAAACTCTTTTGTGGTAAGCCACTAGCTACTAGTAAAACACATACAGGAGGACCTGGGTAGCTCCGTTGGTTAAGCATCCGACTTTTGGTCAGGTCGGGATCTTGCTGTTCATGAGTTCGAGCCCCTCCTCAGGCTCTGCACTGACAGTGTGGAGCCAGCTTGAGATTCTCTCATCCCCCTTTCTCTTCCCCTCCCCCACTCGTGCTTTCTCCCCCTCTTCTCTCTTCCTCTCTCAAAAATAAATGAGTAAAATTTAAAAAAATAAACACATACACATAAACACACATGCAAATTTTTTACTCATGATTTAAAAATGCTACTCAAATGCAAACACATTTCAAACTCGTGACATTTGCTAACTCAGTAACCTGCTAACCAAGTTATGACAAAAATGCTGATGAATTGGCACTTCTACAAATACTCTCTATGCATCACACTGCTGAAAGAAGTAGCCCGATTCATAAGGGCAGTTGTCTATTTCAGACTGCATGTCAATTTCATCCCTCTTTACACAGTTATATGTTAATTGAAGCCTCTCATTTTGAACATCTAGATCTAAGAAGGGCCCTATAAATGTATTCCTACTCATGATTGACTTTGCCTACCATTTGTGTTTTCTTTTGAAACAATCTTTGCCTGTCATTGTTCATACTTGGATGACATAGAGTAGAACCACAAATCCAGGATCTTCCTTAAAGAAAGAATGAAGAAGAGTACAGTTATTTTAAAAGATGAGCAAGAGGACATGTTTTAAATGTAGCCACTTTTTATTACTTAAATATTATTTCATGTTCCTGGATAAAATAATGAAGTTCTAGCCATGCAATAAAATACACCTTATATTTTAAAATCACCTTACTATATACTTTAGGAGCAGTTGAAATAGTCTAAGCATTGTGATGCATTTATTTTTTATAGAGAAAAAAGTGGCTTAATCTGGATTATGTAATTAACATGTTGTGCCAAGGGACTATTTTATTTATTTATTTTACAGTGAGATATCATTCTGTTTCTTCTGCCTTTAAAGTCTTTCCCGAGCCTCAGATCCATATAGACAACTATTTTTGACTGTCAAGAGGAAATATATAGGTGTTTACAGACAGTATAAGATGAATACCAAATGTAACTTACCAGTTCTCTTTCTTGCCCCGAGACCTGCTCATTCTCTGGTCCTAGCAAATGGCTCCACTCCATCTTTGCTCAATCTGGAAACATGAGAGTTATCCTTGTCTCCTCTTCCTCTACATCTGTTCATTCATTGCCTATGCATTCCACCTAATAAATACAGCAAGATCCATCCATTTTTTTTCCATCTTGCCTATTATTACCCTTCTGGTCAGGCTCCCCTCATTTGTTGCCTAATTTACCACAATAGCTCCTGCACTGGTCTTCTGTCTTCATCTTACCCCCTCCAATGCTCTCTCTACTCGATCAGAATAATCTTTCTGATTTTAGAAAATCTGATCATGTCCTTCTCTTACTTGTTTTCAAATTCTCTGGATCTTTACATGTGGTATTTCCTCTTCCTGGAACCCCATTACCCCACACCTTTACCAAGCCAACTCCTATTTCACTCAGATTGCAAGATAGAACATCACTTTCTAAAGAAATATTTCCTTGTCCCCAGGTCTAGATTAATGTAGCTCTTATGTGCTTCAAGAGCACACTGTATTTCCCCTCTCATAACACTTGTAGAAAAAGTTTAAATTCTACTTTCTGGCTTCTACCAGATGGCAAAATCTATGAAGACAGTGACTCATCATCATTTACATTAACCGAGTGTTTGAAATATTTTATGAACTCAGTATCTATTATATGAAAGGGTGAAAAATGAATCTTAACATCATAATAAGTTAGGTATCTATCTTGCTCAAAGAGCTATTCTGCTTTATGATATTGGAATTAAGCTGAATAGTAATGATTAGTTTTCAATATAAATTAATTTTCATCCTTTAAAAAAGACAATAGCCAAATTACAAACACCAAAGGTGTCATTGGCTCATGGAAGAAAAAAAAAAACTAGTAGTTTGAATTCAGTAAGATATATATTGAAATTTTATAATAAAAAAAAAACTTATTCCCTTTTCATGAAATAACCTTAGGAGAACACTACATGCCTAGCACCATGGTTAGCACTACAGTATTTTCTTTACTTGTATTTAAAAAAATATTTTTATGACAGTTTTGCTCCATACTACCTTATTCAATCTGCTCCAACTACACTAAGGGCTTTGCTGTCCCTTGACATGCCAAGGCATGCTCCTAGCTTCCACCTTAGAGTTTTATATTAGCTGTCCCTCTACCTGAAATGCTCTTCCCTCTGCCTGGAAGGCTCATTCTCTCACCTCATTCAAGAATCTGCTCTAATGTCATCTCTCTAAGACACCTACCCTAACTAACCTGTTTCAATCACAAAATAACCCTGCCAGATATACAACATCTTCTATTTCCCTTATTCTTTTTTTTTCCTATAGCACTTGTTATCTTCAAACATCCTATATAAGTTACGTATTATGTTCCTTATTTATTGTCTGTTCCAAATACTCCGTAAGCTTCACCAGAGCAGGGACTGTTATTTTCGTTATTGTTGTTCAATAATGTATCTCAAGTGCTCAGATTAATACCTAGAAAATAGCTGGTACTCAATATATATTTACGAAATGAAAGAAGCTATCATGAGTTAAGGGTAATAATCATTTTAATAATATAACAAGGCAGTATGTCATTAATTTCTGGAACAAATGTTATTAATTTAAAGACCTGGGAACTTTATATTTTTCAGCCCCTATTAGGAGATTCTCAGTATATGAGAAATCCCTAACTCTATCTCTCCTGCTCTTTCTTCCCTTTATCTCATCATAGCCATGGTCTGCTACAAAGAGAATGTGTTTTAGCATTTCCTGCAATTTATGTTATTCCTTTAAAGTAATTAGAATTTATACACACAAAAACAGACCAAACAACTTAACATTGGATTATTCTTGTATGGTTTGTCAATGTGTGTACAGACATACATAAGAATATGAACTGCTGGAGGTACTTTGACTCAATATGGCGCACCTTGTCACACAAAACTAAAGTAAGTGATTTCCAGATAATAGAAGAGTGTATTATCAAAATAGTAACTATCTAATTAACAATATCATATTCTGGGTTTACCCTTTTATGTTTCTCCCTCCCTTTCTTTCTCTCTCTTTTTTTTTCTTTCCTCTTCCTCTTCAAACTAC